TTTTTTTTTTTTTTTTTTTTTTTGAGAGGTTTTTGCTATAGGGCGTGTGCGCTTGCCAGACAGAGACAGCGAGAAATCACCCCCAAGGGGGCATGGCCACGCCGCAATCCCTTCTCCATTCTCCTCTCAGGATCTTGGGCATGCACACACACGTGCCCGGCGTGGGTTTTAAGCCACCAGGTCCAGGACCTGCGAACCACAGTCGACTACGTGGGAGTCCAGCGACGTAGCCATTACACTAACTGCTGGTCCCTGCTTTGGTATCTTTGAGTCTTTCTGGGCTTTTCTCCTTCAGGAAGTTTGACATAGTAGCCCCATGATTTTGCTGTCCAGTTTGGAAAGGAGCAGAATGGAGTCGGTAGGCTAACAAGGTTTTGAGGTTACAGGATAGTTGTGATCCCGATTCTTGAGTTTAGAGATAAGTTCAAGTTTTGTGCAGAAAAGGAAGAATGTATAATTTTGGAACCTAAAATTTGGAGTGTTTGTTTGATTTCCAAATGGGTATATCCAGTAGAGTTTGGAAATGGTTTGGAATTCAGAAGAGGTTAAAAGTCGAAGTGACTGAAAGCACTCTGGTCGGAGTGGGAAATGGAGAGAACCAAAGGCTGAGCTCTGCTGCAAGCTATTTGAATGAAAGAGTAACTGCATGATTGAAGTCCAAGGCCTGGTCCACCTTGTGCATCTCCACAGCGAAATTTTCCTTGGTGTCTCAAGTCTGTGTTGCTCATATCATTCCCAGCCATGCAATGTACTTTAGTAGTAGATGCCATTATTTTAATGTGTTTGTGATTTTTCTTTATATTTGTTTTTATCGACTGGTTGTAAGCTTTGTTTAGGATATAGAAGTTTTTTTTTTTTTTTTCCTTTTGAGAGTTTGTTGCTATAGGGTATGTGCGCTCACCAGAGAGACAGACACAGAAAGTGAGAAATCACCACATGGCCATACTCAATCCCTTCTCCATTCTCCTCCTGGGATCTTGGGCACGCATGCACATGTGCCAGTTTTGAGTTCTTTAAAAAAGCCACCAGGTGTGAGACTAGAACTGCAGTCAACTATAGGGTCTAGCATTGTAACCACTATGGGATATATTTGTCTTGAAGTCTCTTTTCTTTTTAAATTATATTTGTTGTTAGTAATTTTTAAAATTTGACCAGAGAGAGAAGGAAAGTGAGAAAACAAGCCACCAGGTCCGAGACTCGAACCATTGTCAGCCATGTGGGAATCCAGTGCCTTATCCCTACACCACCTACTTGGCCCCAGGATATAGAAGTCTTACACTTCCATATGCAAATCATCTCTTTTTCAAACTTTAGTAATCTATGTGGTAACTTAGAATACATCCTAATGTTTTAGAACTGTTTTAGTGTTGAGTAGGTACTTGACACTTGATGCATAAATGAATGAAAACTCTCTAAGATTGCCTTAATACTAGTTGATTTCTACTTACGTTCTGACAGTTTTAGCACAAGAAATGTAAAGACTCCTTACAAAATGAACATTTTTCTTTGTCTAGGCAGCTGTTTACTGCTCATAAAAATACAAATTATGAAAATTCAAACTCACATTTCAGACTGCCTAAGATAATGAATGCTGTGTAGGACTCGTTGACTGGAACTGGGGTAATACTGTGTTTTAAGCATGCTGCTGAATGGAGCGGAACTTGAAAAGGTACATTATGGAGGCTTCTGGGTCTTAGCATCCTAATGTGTAAGGAAAGGGGGCTAGGTTAGATCTTTAAGTTCATGATTTTTTAGCAATAATTAGCTAGTCCTCATGGCAGAGGGTGGGGATGGGGAACCTAGGATGGCAAAACAAAAGGCAAGGTATGCAGGACACAAAAATTGGGAAATCATTTGCTGAGAACATATATGTTGATGTGCTTGATTGAGCCAATGCACAGTGTATTTTGGATGGAAAATTCATATGTGTGTTGTGATGAGAAAAAAATTTATAATAAAAAAAAAAATCAAAAAATAATTAGCTAGTCCTGGCAGTTAGGACACAACTTACATACTGGTTTACATAAATTACAGTATTGTGAGGCAAGTTTTATAGAGCTTGAGATGCAATGAGAGCAAGATAGATGACAGCTCCTTTTTCTTTACTACTCAAGTTACTTTCTGTGCACCTTAAAACAACATACCTGCATGGCAATAAGTGGTTTTATGTCTTGTCTGATCCACAAATTTAGTAGTGAGTTAAACTTGTTTTTAGCTGTGTGACCTTGAAAGTATAATTTAAATTTCTATTTTCTCATATGCAGAATAAAGATAATACTAACATAGCACGTGTGCCAGCCACTGTTTACGTATTTCACATTATACTCACTCGCTTAGTAGTTATTCTTGGTGTCATCGTGAAATGAAATGATACTCCTCCAAAGCATTTTGGTGTATTTACATTCAACACACTAACCCCCCCCCCCC